CCAACCTTTTATGCTTCTGCTATCACATTTTTATGTTTAGCTTTCAACTGAGATACGAACGATTTCACATGTGATTCGGTAGGGAAGGTCGAAGCATCACGATAGTCAGCAGTAGGATGAGCAGACAGGGACACTTTGAAAGCAGCTACAGCCATAATATTGTACTTGTCTCGCTGCACCATATCTACCATGGTGGTTCTAAACGGTTCCTGAATAACTCTGCGTGTCATTTGGAGACTTTCATGCTTCTTGTGCTTGCCCATTAAGCTCGTGATGCGCTGACGGATTTCAGTCACCTTATCACTTCAAATTACTTTTCGCAGCCACAACGCTAAAGCAGTATAGGAAATGCCTTCTTTTTAGCCGATAAACACGTCCCAAAAATTCAGTTCCAATTAAGAAAAACCGGATTGGGTAAATTTTTTTCAACAAAAATATCCCCCACTGGCTCGTGAGGGGCCTGTTAATATTCATATAAAGAATGTAACTTAACACAATAATAATTATTACTTAAATGGCTAAAATGTTAACATTTATCTTGATAAATAAAATAATAACTAGTTCATGCAATAAATGTTTTATATCAAGCCCTAGAATAACGATACGCCTTTTCTGTCTATTAACAATCATAAATTCTAAACCACTTACAGATTGAATTCTACAACCAATCTGACATATTTTAAGATATTCGGTTACTGCTTGACTCATAAGTATCAGAAGCCTATAGACGAAGCATTTATTTAAAATGAAATTTAAAAACATAAATAGAAAGGCAGATAGGTAGACAGTTTCCTATGCTCGAGATGAACAAAAACAGCTTCATGCATTAACCTGTCACCACATTTTGGCAGATTAGTTCATGTTTTTTGATTGAACACGTTTTTCTATACTAAAATAGGGCCGAGCGCGGCCTAGTGGTTAAAATGTCGAACTATGGATCTGAAGGTCCCTAGTTCCTGTTTTTTGTTTTTTCCAGCATAAACAAAATATCATTCCACGCGTTGGATGCGTTATAAGAGCGACGATCAAATCCCACTGTTCGATTAGAATAGCACAAGAGTTAGCGGTGGGCGCTGTTTACTAGCTTGCCTTCCTCACTAGTCTATCAGTTCGAAGGTGGAGGACTATCGCAGATAGCCTTTGTGAGTTTCGCAATCTTTAACAACAAACAAAAATACTCGAAGCAAGCTCATCTTCTAATTTTAATTATTATGATCAATCTTCTTTTCTTGATGTTTACCTTCCACTTATCGTAATGTCTCTCGGTGGCTCAGTGGTAAGTGTGAGGGCTTAAAGCGCTAAAATCTTACGAGGTTCGATACCCGCAGTGGACACAGCGCTGATAACTCATATTGTAGCTTTGCATTTAAAAACAAATAATCCTCCGGTAATCGTGTTTCCCGATGCATATTGATCCACTATAAATTTTATATAATTAGTAATGAAACAGATACCAACAGTTTTCTCTCTCACTGTTCATTGCTTTAGTATAAGTTAAAAACTAAGAGAAGGAAGGTTGATATCACTTGTACAGGTAGACACCATAAAAAGAAGTACTGGTTTGCTTGTTTCTTATTAAGCACAAAGTTGGAAAATTGTTCGTTTGAAGTTAAGCACAAGGCTACACAATGGGCTATCTGTGCTCTGCCAACCACGGGTATCGAAACCCGGTTTCTAGTGTTGTAACTCCGTAGACGTGCCGATGTACCAATGGGAGGGGAGGGCATTTCAAATGATCATGTGCGAGAAAAACAAGTAAGGAAGAAGAAAGCTTCGTATTGTAAAGAAAACACGAAATTTACGTTTAATTTAACAAGACGAAACATCAAGTACTATAAAGCGTTTTGTTAAAGATTTTGCTGAAAACACAAAAGATAAGCAAAAAAGTAAACAAAGACATAACAGATTGCTAATACCAACATGAAAAGTACAGATTACCGTACGAAAGTAAACAAAGATAACAGGCTGTTAAACATCAAGTGCAGATTACTTTACAAATGTAAACAAATACATAATACGCTGTTAATATCAAAGATTAATTACATATGACTTTACGAAAGTAAATATACATAACGGTCAGTTAATGGGAATCGTAAAGTGCAGGCTAACTATATTTGTAATAGGCTTATAATATTATAGTATTTTGGAACTTGTGTATAAAGTTAAAATCATAAATAATATTCAACGTTAAACTGGTACACAATTAAAAACATTTTATTTAGGCCTATCTATGGCCTTCAAAAAATTGACCACTCTGCATGTTTTGACGTTACAACCTGAGGATGACGTTGTAACGTCGAAACATGTTTGATGGTTTGTTTTTAATTATGCACAAAGCTACACAAGGGCTATCTGTGCTCTGCCCACCACGGATATCGAAACCCGGTTTCTAGCGTTGTAAGTCCGCAGACATACCGCTGTGCCACTGGGGGGCACGAAACATGTAGAGTCGTCAACTTTTTGAAGGCCACAGATAGGCCTAAATAAAATGTTTTTAATTATGTACCAGTTTAACGTTGAATATTATTTATGAATTTAGGCTTATAATATGTTTAAGACTACATTCTTTATTCAGTCCCTTAGAGTTTTTCAAGATAAAGAAGAGGGTATAATACTATCTCAACTACACTATGTCTGCCATATCTATTGTCTTTGACGCATTTCAATAAAGAGTTTATCTGGCTTGCTGGGACACAAGAAACACAGCAGTAGTCGGAACATTATTTATATAAGACATTTGTCACAACATTTGTAACAGTCTGAGGGCATTTTCTAAGCTGGCGGAGCAAAATTATAATTAATTATATTTCTCATAAGACATTGTCATTAGGCTTATAATACTTTTAATAATATACTTTTTTATTTATGAATGGTGAGTAGACCTTGCCAAATATGGCTGATGTTGCTTGGCTCTAGCAACGTCAGCCGTACTTAACATGCCAACCTACAACAAAAACGGCTTGGTATATTGCACCCAAACATTTTGTAGAATACTAAATAAGGTACTGCGAAGGTTGTAGGGGTATTAAAAAGTCAATTTGTTTCTTTTATATTTTACATAAGTTAAAAAAAAACATAATGATTCTAGTGTAAAGATGTTATCATTACCTCTTGAAGTTAGCTTTCTAACAAATATCTGGTATTCCTTTAAAAAGTACAGGGCAAAACAGGAGTTACCAGCCAATAATAGATGAACATTAAATGATTGTAACATGTAGATACTCAGTGCTTTGTAAACAATACAATTAATGTTTTTTATGGAGCCTACTCGTATATTATATATGAAGTGAAGGAGTAAAAAAAATCAATAAACATAATATTAGATTTTATTACCCACATTCGTAGAACAATTACTTTAAAATATATGTTTTACTTGAAAAGGCTACTTTCCTACTGGTAAACTTTTACATGCGCTTAGTGGGGGTTGTGTCTTAGTCTAGACATGTATTTGTTCATTGCTATACATTATATATAGAGAGAATTTAGTTACACAGAAACTGTAAATGCTCACTATATTCTCAAACAAATATCCATGACAATCTGCAGCTACAGCTTAACATTTTACATTTCGAACTAATGATATCAAATAGTCAATAGCTACAGTAAATCATCCCGAACTGTATCAGCTAGCTACTAGCTATGTTCATTATCATTACAATATATAAAGTTGGCTACCATATCAAGTAATCCTTTGCCCATAGTTGAGCATAAAAAAAACAGAAAGAAGATAAATAAAAAATTGTGAATTTAAAACCTCCAAATAGAGATTGTAAATAAAGTAAGGAAACAAGGCTGAAGATACTGTAGTCATTATTTACTCAAACTACAAATCCTTATTTTGACTCCACCAAATGTAATTCTAGGTAACAGCATGTAGCCAAAATATGGGTTTATAGTTTGACTAAATGATGTCTACAGTACCTCTGGCATTGTTTCCTTACTTTTTAAGATTCCCATTTGGAGGTTTTTAAATACTCATTTTTTTTCTATTTATCTTCTCAGCTTGTGATCCAGAATAATCTGGTCTATGTTTAATCAAGCTATGAGAATGATTATCATGAATAAAAACCCTATAACCCGAGTGCTTTCGAAAGGTGGACCTTTCTTCTTCAGGGGCAAACTGGGAATGTTTGCCCCCGATTGTCATGTATTTTCGCTACAAATTCACCATAACTATGGGTTCCAGGTTAGTTTTAGCGTTAACTAATTTATTTCTATGTTATTATGAAAAACAATGGTTGGAAGAATGTCCAAAGAAACTTTAATCTTTTTACTATTATGTGTGTCCCCCAGTGGAACAGTTGTAAGTTTACGGACTTATAACACTAAAATCCGGGTTTCACCTCCCCACGATGGACACAGCAAATAGCTAAATGTGGCTTTGCTACTAAAAAACAAACAAAATGAAACAATATTGTGTAACGAATTTGTTATTATATATTTATTTTAATATCAACGTTGGTTTAGATTAAAATTTATATTTAGAAACATACATAGCTTATACAGTTAAATAGGTATTGTGAAACTCCCGCCTATTCTCCAAAGTTCTAGAAGATTCTCGAGAGTAAGAATCAACAACATATGTGTGTACGTAAGCGCTTTAATTTGTATTGTTACGTAAAACTGAAATTTCTAGAACGCCTCTACACGCTATAAATATAAGCAACGCGACGCGCCGAAAAAGAGAGTATCTACTATTAGTTTGATATAGTCAGTATGCTATAAACTTTAGGAGCTATAACTGTGATTTTTATAACGCTTATCAATCGGAAAACTTCAGATATTTGACCAGGATCATTTATAAAGTTCGAACATTACAAATAATTTAACGTCAGTGGATTCTCATCAGATATTAGTATTTTTACGAAAACATTATATAAATTCATCGTGGAAGACTCAGCGCGCGTGACTGGTGAATAACGAACGACAAAGACTCAGCATGTGTGGTTAGTGA